TCTTTTCTTTTCTTTTCTTTTCTTTTCTTTTCTTTTCTTTTCTTTTCTTTTCTTTTCCTGGCATACCCTGATTTTAGTCCTTGAAGTTTATCTGTGAAGTGTACCCAAAATGATAGTGTTCCAGATTATATCATGGCATATATCATGGCCTGAAGATTTAACCTAGAAGGCTTTTTTGCAAAAAAAAAAAAAAAAGCTAATCTTTTGACATTCCAATTATGAAATGCCAATATCTTCTAACAAGAAGAATCACAGACAAGTCTATAAAAATTATCCTTAATTTGCATTTGTTTCTTTTGAAATTACTTTTGTTTATGACAATGATATATATTTTCATAACGCCAAATCTGATTTATAAAATTGAACATATTATCTTTCCATTTATTTATTATTTTTCAAATTTGTCACTGCTCATCTCACTGTGGGGTGATTCTGGGCAGTTTACAGTAAAAACAGAATAAACAATTAAAATAGATAAATATGAATTAATTAAAATATGCTAAAAAACAAACTGCCTTTATTTTCCTTTATGATACTTCCAAGAGGATGATGTTAATTAGGTGTTAATAAACTCAGGGAGCATCGTCAAGGCGCCAGCCATCCCCAGTGTCAGTTGTATCTTTCCTCGCCCCATGCAAGTTGGCAGAGCCAAGTCTTCAATTCCCTCCAAAAAATTGGGAGGATAGGGCCCACCTCACCTCTGGGGGGAGAGTATTCCATAGGGCAGGGGCAATGACAGAGAAGGCTCTCCTCCTAGGACCTGCCAGTTGACATTCTCTCACTGACGGGATCCGCAGTGTGCTTTATCTGCCAGACCGGATGGGATGAGTCAATGTAATAGGGGTGAGACAGTCCCTCAGGTAACCTGGACCAATGCCATGTAGGGATCTAAAGGTAATAACCAACACCTTGGATTGGACCCAGAAACAAACTGGAACCCAATGCAGCTCCCGCAACAAAGCTGTTACATATGCCATCCTTGGGGCACCCAAGATTGGCCACGCGGCCGCATTTTGAACAAGCTGTACCTTCTGGATATTCTTCAAGGATAGCCCCATGTAGAGTGCATTGCAGTAGTCTAAATGAGAGATGACCAGGACATGAGTGACAGACCAGAGGGACTCCTAATCCAGGAAAGGGTGTAATTGGAGCACAACACGAAGTTGGCAAAGGCCCTCCTGGCCACGACTGCCACCTGCTCCTCAAGCAGGAGTTGTGAGTCCAGGAGGACCCCAAGATTACACACCGGGTCTGTCTGGGGCAGTGCAACCCCATTGAGAACCAAAGATGGTAAACCCCAAGATACAGAGGATCCTCCACTCGACAGCCATTCCATTTACAGGTTCAGCTGAAGCCTGTTGTTTCCCATCCAGACCCCTACAGCCTCCAGGCACCGCGAAAGGGTGGTCACAGCATCACTCAAATCAACCGGGATGGAGATGTATAATTGGGTATCATCTGCATATTGATGATACCTCATCTCATGGTGGCGGATGATCTCACCCAGTGGTTTCATGTAGATGTTAAAAAGGAGTGGAGAGAGTACCAAACCCTGCGGTATCCCACAATAGAGGGGCTTTGAGCTGGTGCTCCCAATCAACACCGATTGGTAGCAACCTTGGAGGAAGGAAGTGAACCAGCACAAAACTATGCTGCCCACTCCCAACTCCCTAAGTTGGCCCAAAAGGATACCACGGTCGATGTTATTGAAAGCCGCTGAGAGGTCAAGAAGAGTGAGGATGGATACACTACCCCCATCCTGCTCCTGCCAGAGATCATCCATGAGTGTGATCAGTGCTGTTTCCGTCCCATTTCTGGGCCTGAAACCTGACTGAAAGGGGTCTAGATAATCTGTTTCACCCAGTATCCCCTGGAGCTGCAATGCCACCACCTTCTCAACCACCTTCCCTAAAAAAGGGAGGTGGGAGACTAGACAAAAATTGACCAGTATGATGGGATCGAGGGATGGTATCTTGAGGAGGGGATGCACCAGTGCCTCTTTAAAGACGACTGGAAACACCCACTCCCTCAAGGATGAATTCACCATTGTCTGGACCCACCTACATGTCGCTTCCTGAGCGGCCTTGACCAGCCAGGAGGGGCATGGGTCTAGTTGACAAGTGGTGGCATTAACAGTCCGGAGGACCCTGTCCACTTCCTCAGGTCCAACAGGATCAAACTGTTCCCAGATAACAGGGTAAGTCCATACCCTGGGCATCTCCATAGGCCATGACCCATGCTTGGAATCCAACTGGGAACAGATCCGAGCAATTTTATTGTTCAGATGCCCAGAAAACTCCTCTGTGTGGCCCTGTAAATGGGCCGCTGGGCCCTCTTTTCCCAGAAGGGATCGGATGATCAAACAGGGCCACCGGGCGGCATTTTGTGGATGCAATAAGACTGGAGAAATATTGACTTTTCACCACTCTTACTGCCACAAGGTAGGCCTTAATAGCAGCTCTAGCCTGTGTTCGGTTGGGTTTGATCTGTGTTTTCCTCCAGCAGCGCTCTAGACATCTCTTAATCCTTTGTGAGATCCTCAGCGCTTCCATAAACCATGGGGAGTATTGGCCTCAATGGATCACGAGAGGTCACACGGGCATGATCTTGTCCAAGGCCTCGGCCACCTTCCTATTCCTGGTGGCGGCCAAGGCCTCTGCTGGACCATACAGCAGATCCTCGGGTATAACCCCCAGGTCCCTTCAGAACCCAATTGGGTCCATCAGTTGACAGGGGTGGACCTGTTGAATAGGTCCTGCCTTCCTGCAGAGGTGGGTAGGATGAGAGAATCTCAAGGTCACCCGGGCATGATCTGACCATGACAATGGGGACAGATGTAACTCCCCCTTCAGATCATCTTGCCACTGCTCTGACAGGAAAACCAAGTCCGATGTGAGACCACCGTCCTGAGTCAGGTTGCAAATAATCTGGGACAGGCCCATGACCGCCATGGTGGCCATGAACTCCTGGGTCACCTCCAAGGCACATCCCAGGGACTATACGTCTGGGGAACTCCACTGCTAGCTCTGAGACAGCCTCCAGCAGCTCAGGCAGGGAGGTTGCTACACTGCAGGGAGGCTAGTACAGCAGCAACAATCCCAACTCTTCTCATGAGCCCAGCTTCAGGAACAAGGTCTCACAACCAGCCACTTGTGCAGCAGCACCCCTGAAGGCCAACAGAGATTCCCAGATGACAACTGCTACCACTCCTCCCCTGCCCCGGGGTCTCGGCTGGTATAAAACCGTAAGCCCAGCTGGTCACATTTCCAAAAGGGGCACCCCCACTTCAGGGCTCAGCCAGGTCTCGGTGATACATACCAGGTCGATCCGCTCCTCAGTGGTCAAATCACATATAAGGGGGACCTTGTTATTGACTGACCTGGCATTAAGAAGCAGCAGCCAAAAGCTAGGGCCTCCACAGTTCTGCTGTCCAGGGCCTGGGTCCAAGTCCAGAGGGTTGGAACATGCCACTGGTAGTAGACACTGGGGGCATCTTCCCTGAGAGTGGCCCGCCCTCTGACTCCCGTCATAACACCCCCTCCCTGTCACCACCTGAATAGTATGACTCTAAGCCCCCCAGGGCTTCCAATTCCCCCCAATCCCAGGCCTCTGGCTTCCCTAGTTAGGGGACCCTCCATCCAAACATACAGTAACAATCACCTAATCAATCAAACCAGTCAATCAGGTGGTTGTGTGTTCCCTAGCACTCCAGCTCCTGCTCTCAGCAGTGTAGGAGCCTTACCCCTCAGCCCCTTTGCCCACCATGCCTCCCCTGCGACTTCTCTCACTGGTCAGTAGGGGACAACACTCACACTCTCACCCACGCATTCTCACATCCACCCGTGGACTCCCCTCTGTCTCTCACCCTAGGGAGGGAGACCCAGCTAACATCTACTGGAGGGACCCCAACACTCAGTCTGGAATTGAACTTGCCAGCTTCCAAGTCCTTCAGGTCCCCCTAGGGGGCCAGAGCTGCTGTTCGGGTGCCAGATGCCAAGCCGGTTGTAGACCGACATCCAGGCCTCAGTCCTTTGCCACTGCTCCCTCTCAGGCCACTCCAGCTGCAACTCGGAACACCGCTAGTGCTCCAGTACTAGTCCAGCCAATTTTCAGGCCCTGTGCAGTGGTCTGGCCTCAAGCTCAGCTGAGTTCTAGGCTGCCGTGGTTCAGATCTCTCTTTGGGCCGCACACTCTCTGCATCACCCTGCACAACTATGGAGCTCCGCCTAGCACCCGTCATGCTCCAGCTAACCTCTGCCGAGCTCCGCCATCCTCCATTCATCTGGGACCGAAGCATCAAGCACCCCCAAAGATCCCAGACTAGAGTGAAAAGTTTTTCTCTGTAGCCCAGGCCTCTCATTGAGCTCGCGCCGCTCACCTTGCGCGCTGCTTGCCTTGCGTGCGGTTCACTTTGTGCGCTGCTCACCACGCCACATCCAACTTAACTGTGGAACTCCACCCAGCCACACCGGCCCCACCAAACTCTGTCATAGAGTACCCCCGAAGTCTGCAGTTTGGTGTCCAAGCTTCAGGGCACACAGGTAAGCTCTCAGGGCATTTGGGTAAAGATAAAAAACCCGTAGCAACTGTCCCTTCACCTAGACCAGCACGGCGGCCAACGCTTGCCCACTCCTGGTTGCCATCTTTTAGGTGCA